TTTAATTTTGTGCACAAAATTTGTAATTGATCGTAATTATAACATCATTCTCATATTGTTATCCACAGATACTACTGCAATGTTTGCGACTGTGTTGTCAAAGATTCAATCAATTTTTTGGACCATATCAATGGGACAAAACGTAAATTTAAATAATTCATAAATTATAATAGAATTAAAATATTTTCTCATTTTAATTATAATTTTGAATTTTTAAGATCAACGTAATCTTGGTATGTCCATGAAGATAGAACGATCTACATTGGAGCAGGTTAAAGCAAGATTTGCACAAAACAAAAAGAAACTCGAAGAAAAAAAGAAAGATTATGATTTGGAACAAAGAGTAAAGGAGCTGAAGGAAGAGGTTTGGTTAAAATTGTTCTTTAAATACTTTTTTCGCGCGCACATTATGTAATTTTTTTACAAGATTATTTCTGTTATTAGGAAGAAAAAATCAAAGAGTATAGAAAAGAAAAACGAAAGGATAAGAAGAGGAAAATTGAGGAATTATCCGAGGATGATGCAGGACCTTCTGATGAAATGGCTGCGATTATGGGATTTTCTGGCTTTGGCTCAAAAAAAAAGTGACAAATTGCTGTCGAACATTCATGAACAATTACGTGAAGAAGAAAATATTCTTCGAAGAAAATCGCGACCGAATCATATAGATATATGATTGAAAGTGAAGACAAGTGAACACAAATAGGTGACAAATAATTTTAATTCTAAATATAATTGGAATTTAAGAAGATGATTTATGAATGCAATGATTTTTCATTTTTCCATTATTGTTACAAGAGTTTTGTATTTATTTAAGATAAGTAAGAAAATTATCAAATTACAAGTCTGATTAACTTCACTGAATGAGTGTAACAAATAATATAAATTCAAATAATTAAGTAATTTAATTGTAACTAAGTAATTAAGATTAATTAAAATTAATTATTTAGGTACAAATTAACTTCGGTAATATAAATAATTTAAGTATATTTTGAAACAACTTTGTATCTTTGACGATTTTATATCTTTCACTGTGAAAATGCTGAACTTCATACTCAATTAACGCTAAAAGAGTATGCGTATGTGTAGAAATAAATTTTATGAATTAGAGAGAGTGCAAATAAAATTTAACATCGATACTTTCCTTAATTATCTTATTTAAATCATATTACATTATTTTAATAGTACAGAAAGCATTTGTCAACAGTAGATGCGATTGACCAATTCCAATTGATTAACTGTCGATTAAAATTAATCAGAGTTTTTGATCAACGTGGTCTTAATATCCGGCTGAAAGAGCAACATTCAGACTATGTTTTAGTATTAAATTTAAACAGGCAACAAACTCTTTTTTGTGCTTTATTCTTATATTTTGACAGATTTATTACTTATTACATTTATTTCGCAAATAATGGATTTGAATTGGATTTTAATAGTAACATAAGTTAATAAACTCTTACGTTATTGTTAAGTATTGTATTGTAATTTAAGTAATTTATCTATATACATATTCTATATACATATTCTATATACATATATTGTAACTTATAATTTTTATTATATAATTTTTTGTTAGGAAAACTGCAGGGTAACAAATCTTTTTCTTTGGCAATTTTTTAACAACAAAAAAATTAGTTAGATTTGATTCTGCTCATTTTGTCCTGCTAACTTATAAAACATCCAAATTTATCGAGATACATCATATTGATCCAAATATACATGTACCTATCTATGAATCGAATACCGAACGAACTGACTGCTAAAGATTGTTATTATTTGTTATCTAAGTATTACCTAAGTGTCATACAAGTTCAATTGCAGTATGCAGCGAATTTTTAAAATATTTTCGCGCACACTGCATACTTTTTTATACTTATTTCTAAATTTCTTTTGTTTCTTTTTACTCTAAATTTTTCATAGCAGATGAAAAATTCTAATATACAATATGTATGCTTTCCACTTAATTTGGAACGTTCATTTCATCCTTGTTATTATAAAATATTAAACAAGGCTGAAATAATGTATGCGAGCGTTGCGAACATTAAGTGCAACGAAACGCAACCATAATATATCCCTACGCTATTGTCAGTCCCGCAAGAATTAGTAGCAGCAACAATTCGAATCGCTCCTGCAACACAAAAATAATGAATTCTTTCACTTCTTTCTTCATATATTTGATTCTTTCTTTTTTTTCTCCTTTCTTGAGAGATTCTTTCGCTAATAAGGATGGAGGGAGGAGATCTCTGCGACTCTCGTCTCCCACTTTGCGGAGGATCACAAGAGGATGTTCCACAGCGGGGTCCAAGCTGAAGCCGCTGGGGGCCATGTTCCGGAGACCGGAGCGACGCAGTGCCGGTCGATGTGTAGCCGACGTAACTCTCACGCAGTCTTCTCTCTCATAGCTAGGCAAGCCGTCAACCCGTTATTCGAAAGTCCGCGGAAGCCGCGCGCAGTTGCGCGTGTCGGAGTCGCAAAGTGCTTCAGTCGGTTACATATTGACTTGCGTGAAGTGACGCGACGTGACGTGCGAATCGTCGTGCACGTGCCACTGGAGGTGTCGATCTATCCGCTTTTTGCGCGCCCGGCATCCTCCGCATTTGCCGTAAATCGAATCTAAGACGTATATCCTCAGGAGAGACGAAAAGAAATCAGTGAAAAGTTTTTTCTTGGAAAATAAAAAATGTATTAATTGTTTTTTTTTTTTTTTTTCCGGAGAAGAGAATATATTTGGAAGAAGCGAAGAAACAGAGAAAAATGCCTTACAGTGTTTAGCGAGTATTTTGGGAGAAAAGCAGAAGTGGTTGCGAAGTATGTCTCAGTATTAAGAATAGATGTTTTGATAAAAATCGAATTAATTTCTTGAAAAAAAAAAATGTATTCTCTCTGAAGGCTTATTTCTACATTAAAAGAAAAAAAGTTAGAATTGATTTCATAGAAGATATACTCGTAACAAATAAAGGTTGTTCATTTATATAAAATAAGAGGAATATGAATTGATTGAAATAAATTACAATATCCAGAATAATTGTCTTCTCGTGAAGTTTGGCATAATTATTTAAAAAAAAAAGAATCAGCCACATTATTTATATAAAAAAGAAGAAAGCGACATTTTTAAACAAAAAAATTTAATTTATATATATGTGTATGTGTGTATGTATTAAATATTATTTTTTCCCATAAACGAGAAAATTGTATTAAAACAGATTAAAATTTTACTTGTCTGAATTAGTATTTTAAATAACAAAAATGTTTTTATTCAATTGGATTGAAAAACTACATTTTCTATTCAAAATTTTTAATTGAAAAGTATTCACGAGACAAAGAAAAAAACCGATATTATCTTTAGATTGAAAAGCATAAAAATGTTTCATCAAATTCGGAATAAAATGCATTCAGATTGAAAAGGATTCATTTTGACGTTCGCGAAAACATATTTCTGAAAATTTGAATCTATTTCAATCCATTTTAACCTATTCTCATTTATTGAATTATGAACCTCAATAAATTTCTTAAAGCAGCTTCTAAGTCAAATTTGGAATAATTATCTTCATTTCCTTCATAATAATCGACAAATATTATATTATTTTTACTGAAAAAGAAACATTCACATCTCTCCATGAAAAAAAATTGTAACATTGAAAAATTCTATTAATTACCGTTAATCATTATTTATACTATCGTGAATAAGTTCAAGTAATCCGAAGAAAGAAACATCAATCAACTACGTCACCAATGCTTGGATTTTACTGCTACATTATCATCACAAAGGATCTCTCGTTTGTCTAATTATAATCAATTATATTAATCAGTGCCGGTTAATGTACGCTCATGAAAAATGCGACACGCAGTCACGGCGAATCTGTCGGACTTGACACGGAACTCAATGGATTGATGGACGTCGATAGAGATTTTACAAGCGTCTCATCACGGTTCGCAAGCACCGTAGCGCGGTATTCGTTTTGGTTTGAAGAGTAAGACGAAATCAAGAAATTAAGGCGATGATGTCGCGAACTTTGCAGCCGATCGAGGAATCCAACCCCGGCAAGTCATCGGGTAAGACCTCATTCACTGATAGTTGATGAAATGATTTTTCAATTAATTTTCTTGAAATTACTGACCTTAACCCTTTGGTGCCATTCTCAATATGATATACCCGAAATGTTTTTACTTACTGTGGTATTGTATAAAACTTTTTTATCAATAAAGCTATTATACATTTGCTTATTGCTTATTGCTTATTTGCTTATTGCTTATTTTTAATGTTTTGCGTTTCAATAAAAAAAAAGTTTGTTACAATGTTACAATTTTTATTTTCATACAGTACCTTCCAACAGACAAATTGATGTTAATGACATTATTTTGATATCAAAATTACAAATAACGTCAACTTGTTTGCTGCGTTTTGTCATAAATATTTCACAAAACATATACATATAGTATGTGACACTGAAGAAAAGTTAGCAACAATTTTTTAGGGAGAAAAAAATTTTCCTTGAGAAATTTACTTTAAGTGAAGTGAAGATTTAAAGATATTAAAGGAAAATCTTTCAGCTTTTTTTTAGATTTTTCTTAAGTAAGTTTTAGGATTATTTTTAAAAATAATTAAAAATGTTCAAATTTACTCTTTCTTAGTTCTTCTCTTAAATTTTTTCTATATCATGTTTTGAGTTTTTTTTAAAGTTTTCTAAGAATAAAGTTTTCCAAGGATTACATCTTTTAAAAAATTCAATATCTGTTAATAAAGCAAAGATAAAATAAAATAAAGATTAAATCTTTTATAGGCTCTCCTATTAAAGAAAAAAATCATATTAAATTTCTTTCTAAAATACAAAAAATCTTTAATCAGTTCTTAAAATCAGATTTATATATAAAACTCGTTTATTCTCATAAAGAAGAAATTAAAGTAACGATAAAATTAATTGATGACAATAAAAAAATCTGAATTTCTTAAAAAATTTAAAATATTTTTATTTTTCTTTCGCGAAATGATTTTAATGACGTTTAGAATATCTTTAAAGTTCTTTTCATTTTTCAAATATATAACATCTACAGAATCTTCTGATAAAAAAAAATACATCAAGTTTTCTTATTCTAATTCTACAATAACAGCCGCGCTTTCCCTTTTCTTTTCCACGGAAGTGAAAAGGATCGGACACGCACCGTGTTGCTATCTGTTACACGGCTGCCTGCTCACGGCTCTTATTTCCAACTCTTGTTTTCGAAACAGCCCGATTACTCGTGATCACTCGTGCGTAATTGAATGGATCACCTAAGTGGATCCGACGAAACAGGCTGCGAACATTGAGCAAAAATTTCCGTTTCACTTGGCTCAAAGTTTTGAAAAGCTGCGAAGCAGAAGCGAAAATTGACATTTCATCGTAAAGCTGTCTTATTGATTAGGTTTAGATTTCAATGACTTTATTAATATTTTTTCGTATAAATTAGTGCATAAATTCTAATAATTGAAATCGAATCTCACTTACAAGACACAGACTACTTTGTATGAATCTAAGGCACTACGCACAATATAGGAAATATTAAAAATAAGAATAAATATTAAGACTTCAACCTGTTTCAAAAACTATATATTCCAATATAACTAGTGTAACAGTATAACAGTACTGGTTCCTGATAGATTGAAATCTTAATACTTATTCTTGTTTTTAATATTTCTTCCATTGGGCTCTATTCCCATTGTTATAAAAAAGATATCAAATGAAATATGAAATTATTTATGTTTACATAATAAAAGAAATGATAATCTTCCATAATTATGTGACTTATTAATTATTATTTATATGTAATGCATTATGTATTATTATTATTATTTATTGTAATTTTAAATGCAAAGTCACGGACATTATTTTATCGTAAATTAATAAAATTGTTATGAACATTGCAAGTTTCATCGATCATACATTATGATGTCTATAATTTTTCGTTCGAGTTAAAAAGTTTATTTTTTATTACTGCACTGGATTTGACTGCATCAGAATCTTTTCTCATTTGAATGGATCATTTCCGACACAAATGCAAAATGTTTTATACCATGTAACGTATTCATTTTGAGTTAAATAACACACAAATTTTGATGGACTATTTGAGTAAAATGTATTAATATAAATTTTTCAACTGTATGTATTGGAATTGAAAAGGATCTCAAGATCAGAGATCGAAACCAATATTAGAATTTGCAGTCAATTATAATTATTTGCATTTAAAATTTTGATTAATTGTTTGCGAAACTCGCAACTATGGCCACCGTTTTAATAACTACAATTGCTTGAAATTTAGATTGCGTTGCAATGTAACGTGGTAATTAAATCGAGCAATATTCCGAAAAGTTGTAGTTCGTTATGGTGATTAATTATTAAACATCCTCTCGGCAGAATCCAACATTCGCTGGCAGTTATTAGTTACGAATTGCGAACTACTTTCACAATTAATATCTCTGTATATTCGCACATGGCCAAGTATTCTGCTATAACAGATGGAACGTGAAAACTAACGGCTGTCGGAAAGATGGAAAAAATGAATGATCCATTTGCGTCAATTATTCGCTGTTATACGTCAAAGTGTTCTAATTCTTCAACGACAGATTTTTCTCTCTATGTTGCGTGAGAATATGAAAAATTATATTGTTAATAAGTCACTCTTATTCCAAAAATAAAATTGAATAGAGAAATTTATTTGTAAGACAATAAAAAATAATTTAAATTAAATAATTAATTTACAAGGTTCCTATTTTTAACATTTGAATAATGATTTTTATGTATATTTTTAGCTACTAAAAATGAATATAAGATTATAAAAATTACGTCACAGATTTTGAGAAATCAAGGATTCTATTTTTTAAAAAACTATACAAGTAGAAACAATATACAATTTTTTTCTTTTACTTTAGAATAAAATACATAAAAATCACTATTTTATAGGTTTATTTTATAGGTACTTTAAATTTATAATAAATTTATAATAAACAGTTAGGATCGTAGCTTTATAGAAAATAATTTTTTTGATTTGTAATAAAAAGACTATTAAGCTCATAGTCCTTTATTTATGTCATTTTTATCTAATTGAGTCTTGTATTACAGTTAAAGAGAAATTTACTGTTTTATAAACAAATGTAGAGTAAAAATAAATTAGAATATTAAGAATACGAAACGTTTGCAAACGTTTTACATAATATTAATGAATGAAAGAGCTTTTTAAAGAATATTGATTGATTTTGTACGTATATTTTATATATTTATAACGTATATTTTAAAAAGTGAGACATCTCACTTACATGCTTAATATCTTATCTCGCATAATTATACTGGGAAGACGTGCGCAATTACATGGTTGTTCTGCCAGTATATGAGGAGATAAAATGATACGCTATTTGTTGCAAATGAGAATCTCGCTGACGATAAATATATAGGAACTTTCAATTACTCGAACTGCTATAAGCTTCGCAAAATAAAATTTCTTCAGTTAAACTAATCAGAATAATCTATAAAAAGCGTTGTAAAAATTCCGTTCTAAAAAGTCCGATTTCTCAGACATTTTTACACTTTATATTTAATAACATTTTAAATAAACAAAATTATAGGAGATTGCTTTATGTTTTATTCATTTAATATCGAGTTAATTTACTTTTAAAAATCGGATTTCTTCTTATAATGTAAAATCGAAAGAAAGATTTAATTTCACATCATCACAAAATAAAATGATATTTTTTAAAAATATAATTTCATGTCACTTTTTAGTAATTAAATTGTTAATAGATACATAAACATTCAATCCTCAGTAATTCAAAGAAACTTGATTTGAAAGAATTTAAAAATCGTTTAAGTTAATTATAAGCTTAATTAATGATCAGCCAGTAATTCGAAATATTTTTATAAGAAGCTATTATTATTCTATAAAAAAAAAAAGAAAAGAAAATCGAAGTTGACGTATTCTATTACGATGGAAAAATATCGGAATTGTTGCGAAAGTAATCCTGTATCTCCGCGAGGGTCCAACTCCTCATGAGTCCGTAAACGATGCCTAATCTCGAGTTCTCATTAACGAACATCGCTTCCTTCTTCATGGTCTGTATAAAAACGTAAAAGACGTCTGCTTTGCCGCTTTCCATCGGGTAATTAATCCGAACCTTGTTGGTTCTGTAGCCGCCCTCCACGACGCTCACGTGGCCTTGCCCGTGGACAGACGCGGCAATTACACACTGAATGAGCTTGCCCGGTCGAGCTCTATAGTACATCTCTGCTCTACTGTTCACCGGGAAGTATGACTTGTAGCTCTCCAGCTGGATAACTCGAGACATCACTTCATCCTTGGTAAACTTATCGTCCTGCATCAGCCACGTAGCTCTACGGAAAGAAGCTCGCGTCTGCGAAGTTTTGGAAAGCGCGCAGGCTGACGACAATTGCAGTCGAGTTTCACAAAAGCTGTTATGAGGCAAGAAACTTCCTTCGGAATGAGAAGATGTCGAAACGTTAAATCACGAACTATGGGATGGATCAAAAGATTTCGAAAGAACTCTGATCAAATGAAAAACGGAGATTACTTTCTTTTTCACGCTCGTTGAAGTAAGTAGAAACTATGATAGGGAAGTATGTTGGAGTATACGACGCGAACAAACCTTTTGACGCATGAATAAGCATCGTAGCCTTCTTCTGACAAATCATTCATGAAATATTTTTAACATTTAAATATGAAACATAATTTTTTCTGTTAATATTCTTTTTTTCTTTCTTCGAAAAAAATCTGATTAACTTCAAAAAATATCACCACAAAATCATATTGCAATGTAAAATATATACGTACGTTACAAAGGATAACTCACAACAAGACTTAAATTTTCTTAAGTTAGTAAAAGTTTATATCGATAGCCGAAATCTCTTTAGCTTTCAGCGTTAGTAGAAAAATAACATTTTTTTTTCTTGAAATAAATGTACTCACGGTTCGCTTAGTGCAGGATTAGAAATGTAACAGAAGATTAGAAGGTAAATGCGCGTCATCGTTAGTAATTGCTGTGCGAAAAGAGATTCTGGAGTTAGCTGCCAGTTGATATTAATTTGCTGATGTGGATTGCCTGGTCAATGTTGTGACACTGTTCAGTGTTTTTGGCCTGATATCATTATCGCACGCGCAATGATCGTCTTTGTGAGCTAGACAGTAGTAGAGCGTGCACTAAAATTAACGAAGAGGGCACGGTAATAGACTCTGATATGGGCTGCTGTTATGATGATCCCTCCTCTTCGTCTTCTATTGCGCGTCATTTACGAAATAGCATCACTTGGATTATATTCTTTATTTAATTTGGTACGGGATTTAATTTGGCTTAATAGTAAGATTGATATCAAATCTTTTATATATAAATGATACACATCATTAGAGTTAAGTAAATAATAAAAAAGTAGTACCATTTGAGTTTTATTTTTTATTTAGTACAATAAAAATAATATTATTTGGGTTTTATAATTCGGTTTTATAACAAATTTTTTTTTCGAGAAGAACTCTTTTATCTTTTCTTAAGATGGTAATTTTTTTTCTACATATCAATTTATTCACCTCATTATTCTGTATATAAGTTAAAGTATAATTCTTGTTAAATGGGTGAATTTGAATTTCATGAACTTGATCACGAATCTGATCACGAGCGAGAACTACATCCATCCCATCGACCTCCGGCCACCATGGCGATGGTATTGCGGTATTGTTCTTCTTTAAAACTAAAGTGACTGACTGCCATTTGCCTTTTGCGTGCGAACCGGTGCATTCGTTGTTCTTAGTTTCGAACAACAAGTATTTGAAACATTAACAAACAAAAAGCTAAAGATAGTGATTTTCGTAACTAAAGATTATCATCATGTATATTGTGTATGTATATACGTACCGTAAATTGAGAAAATTTGTGACTTGATCAATTTCATATTCATATAAATTAAAGGTAAGCAATGTGATCTTCAGGATTAAAATTCGAAAAAAGATCTACGACACTTTTATACTTTAATTTCAAACACAATAGAAGGAATTAAAGAAATTAATTTTCGAAAGTCAAGAGATAAAAAAACATGATCTTTAATTAAAAATTTATTTATCTAATTTTATTGTATAATTATGACTGCGTTTCCCGAAGGAAAACGCGCAATCGGCGTTTTTGTATCATTTTATCTTCATTTGATGTAAATCAAAGATAAAATGATGCAATAACGCAGATAGCGCGCTAACCGAATGCAGTCAATATTGTAAGATTGGAAGATGGAAGATCGTATCTTAAATTGAAAATAAAAGAAAAAAGATTGTATTCTAGCATAAATCATGACAAATTAATTTTATATACTTTCTCAAATTTTTCGCATAAATCTGAAATGAGTAATAGAAATTTTTGAGTTTAATTTTTCCAAAAAATCGCAAATTTCTTCAAAAGTGCGCTTGCTGTAGCATCAAGAATTCATCACACGAAACGTTCGTTTTACGCAAATCGGTGATCAATCTTGTGTCATTTTTAATATCAATCTTATGTCATTTTTAACGGTACTCCGATCTCGAATCGTCGGTCACGATCGATGAATGCGTGATATCCGGTACGACCCGTCGAACGAAGAATTCGTCAATATGGTGGCCGAGCTAGCTAGCATTTCTACGGTGACGATCGATGGAAAATCATCGGACCTTGATAGCACCTCGAAACATCACAAACGACCCAAATGGATTCAAACGGCGACGCGTGAGTCGATTTATAGTGTTCTGGATAGCAACGAGAATATCACAACGAAAAGTTTTCCTCCGAATATCCACAGCAAGATCGTATTGATCAGCGCGGTGAAGGACGAACCAAATCAGAATCTAGAAAACGAGCAACTAGAATTACCATACAGGTTATCATCTCAAAATAAAGCGTCGTCGATTCTTGAAGTCGAGGATGAGAACACTCTTTACAGCGTGGTAAGAAAACCGAAGAAAGTGCGGTTGTTAGAAACGCCCTCCGAAGCGAACGAGGAGGTGATTCGATCTGTAGATAAGATTCGCGACATCGATCCCAACGAAAGGCACGAGCAACAGCAACTGGACCATAAAGACGTGTCCAGGCGAGTCGAAGTGAGAAAGTGGCTCTACGACACGCCTAAACAGTCCCTTTCGAATTCGTTGGAAATGTATTTCGATCATTCAGGGTACGAGAATAGCTGGCCTGATCAGGAGAACTTGGTAGCATTGCCTCGAGGAGTGGTAGGTCTCGTGGGTCCCTATAGGATATATAGCAACCCTAATGAGAGGAGAGAATATATGCTGCAAGAGGAGGAACTTGTTGAAGAGGTAATGAATTCCGCCAGTAAAAGAGTACAAGAAGAAAAGAACAAAGACGAGCATCGTCAGAGGGCGAAATGGAAAATCAGGGAGGATGACGAGGAGACCTTAGTACCGGATATCCGAAACCTGTCTGGTTTCGTGGAAACGAAGACAGATGTCGCTAAGATGGAGAATAATGATTGGAAGAACGAACGAGAATCAGTAACGAAAGTGAATAAATCGGATTGTGTCGAAGGGATTCTGTTTAGTAAAGAAGAATGCGCGGTGGATGTACCAGATACGGTATCTGCAATCTCGACAACGTCAATGAAGGAGAAATGGGGTGAGAAAATCTCTTACAACAATCTCGCGAGATATTTGAGAATTTTCATAATTTTATGATTATTGAATTATTTATTGCTAAGCAATTAAAATAGAAATACTCTCTAATAAATAATATTAATTAAAATAATACACAAATAAATGAAAAAGACTATATTCAAAACGGAGTTTAGTACTTAAAAAGATAAATTAAAATATGTAAAATTTCTTAGTTTGAGATTATCAAGCAAAAAACCAATAAATGAAAAGGTCAAAAATACGAGTCATCATATAAAACATATGTATACATTACGATTGTAACTTTTTTTAATACTTTCGTTATTGCGAATTATGGATTCATCTATTAAAATCTGTTGTATCGTGGGAATAAATACATAAATAAATAAGTGAATTGACAGTTGCTTTCTTCTTTTCTATCGCAGCTCTTGCTTATTTGTAAATTATAATCAGATGCGAAAAACGTTGCGAAATTACAAAGTGATCAATTAGACGATAACGGTGTATAATTTGACAAAGTAGGTATGTCGTCCACATTCGATATGCAAGGCAACACGTATCTTACGGTATTGTCCGATAAAATGGACTCGAATAGCGGTAGATAGTACTAGGTATGCATACATATCGGCCTCTTAATACGTGTGGTTCATGACTTCGTCATGACGTTGTGAACCAATGATTAGGTCAACATTCGATTAGAACTGCATTTCTATACATTTGTCTATCCTGCCTATCTTATTCGAACGGTGAATTGTCTTGCTCGAGTTTAAAATTAGATTCTACGGGATGAGAGACCTCGAACCTTCAGCAGTTCAAAAGAAGATAAACAAGATAGCAATGTTCTGTTTCAAACAGCAATAACGTGCTGAAGATATTAAATTTCAATGATTCTTCTTTTTTAGAGAAATCTTTTTGTGAACTTTTTAATTAAAAAAATTAATTCTTCTCGTACACTTTAGTTTTTTTAATTACTTATTTGAAATTTAGATTATGGAAAAATATGGAAGATTAAAAAACTTATAACTGGAAATATATAACTCGAAATTTTTGTATACTTCTCTACGCGCACACTTCGAAGGATTATGGCTGAGTCATTCTTGACCGTATCTCTATAATCCAAAAGTTTTACATTGCTCTGCATATGAATGTAGCACAACAGCAGTTTTCGAATTTTAGACTTTCTACACTCTTACGAGCAAATGTAAAGCATTCGGAATATATTGTTTGTTTTTCTTTTTAAAAAAGCTCACATATTAAATCATTATTAAATTTAGTCTCCACAGTGACGTTAAAGAATTAATTAATGATATTGATTTTTTTATATTCTCCAAATATTTCATTGTTCGAGAGTTAAAATGAGTATTCATACGCAGCTTTCTAATCAAGTACAATTTGTTCTTGCTTTCTTTCGAAAGATCTCTCATTAAATGGTTCGATATGAACCACTCTTCGGCACAGCCGCCGTAAAACAGCTGCGGCAGCATATATCACATGAATCGCGAGCCGCTCACGACTTTCACCATTTTTACGATTTTTACACACCTTTTACCATCCAGTACAATCAGCAATTTTACGATCAGTGTCATCAGGCTTTTCATTATCGCGGCTCTTAATTTTATTCGCATCTGTTCTTCTCGCTGTTTGTTTCCTATAAGTTGATCGGTCGAGATTTTTTCTTCATACGAACACTCGCATTATATCTCCTTGGAGCGAGGCGTTCGAATAGATTTGTATCGAGGAAATTAGAAAGCACGCATAGCAAGCGTACATGAGTTATTCCATCGGAATTAACGGGAATACGAAATACGTGATATAACCGCTTCAGACTCCATTGTCTTCTCACGGATCTTTGTAATTCTTCAACGACTCCAAAGGCGTAAAAATCAAGCGTGAGCAGGAGAAAAGATCTATTATCCTTGCACATAACTTTTGAGGTCATTCCACTGTGCCATGAATCGTTTTCTCCTCCGTGTGTCGTAGAGAGAAAACTTCACTTTGATAACATACGATCGATGCGAGCATGAAAAGTGGAGGACTGAGATAATTTTGAATAATGTGCAATATAATCTTACGTAATAATTTAAAGAGAATTAGACTCGAAAAAAGTTCTTGCATTTGACAATTCCGTAAATTCATTTGCAATAATGATATAAAAACAGGAATACATCAAACAATAATAAGTATTTTATTTCGATTTAAATTTTTAATTGGAAACCAAACTTTGCCGACATGTAAATGTAAAATAATATAAAATTTAATGCGAATCCTCGTATTATTTTCCGCAAAAATATTAATAATACTTAAAAAAATAAAAATACCTGATTACGTAATTATAAGTCATAGACCACTCTGCAGATATTAGAAATAACTAATTAGATACCTATCAAGTGCTCGACTGCTCATTAATTAACACACTTGAGTTTATACTGCAATCCTTTCACTAGCGGAAAGTCGATGAAAAGTGATAAGAGAATAGGGGATCTTGTTACAGACAAATTAGCTAATTATCTCGAGATTAAACATATATATGGAAGAAACGGATGGGATATTCGAGTACTTCCTCTTCGGCTGCTGTAACTTACTTTCGTGTTCTACTCCAAGCAACATCATGCCCTGACTCCATTAATCGTCGCATAGCTTCAATCTGTCAGCCATATGACGCCACCGTTACTAAAAGCCTCCTGACAATCCTCAGTCACTGTTACACATAACTGATTTTCTGCAGTTAGATGATGCAGCTGCATCGCCGAATACCGCCGCCGGCCTGTATACAGTTAACCACTTTTCTCGCAGCACGGCGGCGCAGCGGAATGAGTCGCAATTGCATCTGTGCGAAAAATATTATATATACGCACGTGCCTTCTATTCGCGAATAATCATATTATACAGTTTCCAACTTTTCGACACAGATGTTCTTTCGTCGAACGACTCGATCGCTGATCGACAATCCACCTAGATCACTAGTAAAGTGCTGTCGCGCGAGTAACGACGATACGCATGGTGATAAATTTGCCCGAGAAAATTGTAAAAGCGGCATCAAATAAAGAAGATTCAAATTGAGAAAAAATCAAGGAAATTTTTACGTTGTAATAAATAATATTCTTTACGTTACTTTATATGAACGATTGTAAATTTGAGATAATTCTAAATGCATTATTAGACTTTTTCATAACATTTAGCAATCAGTTATCAACATTCTTCAAGTAATATTATCCTCTTTTTATTTTAAGTTCTATCTTTAAATTGTAAGCAATTCCGTTATGACATGATGAAGCTGTCGCGCTTGTGTTTTTACGAGCTGCGCCTCCAACCATCAATATTTTTACGTAGCTCGCGCGAGAAATCTTTCAACTTCTTCTTTTAAATAAAAAGATAAAGTACCCATAAAATCATCGACATACTGCATCTATGTTTGTCTTTTTTACAATTAATTTATTGCGATAATAAAATTCGCGTCGACGATCGCGTGAGGACAGCATGCATTAAAATACAGTATCGCGTACGAAAATGTTTCCTCATTGATGACATGACACGTTATTCGGTCGCAAGAATTTCTTGCGGTTTCTGCTTTCGTGTTTTCTTGTAAGCTAGTTCTTTTTATTCATTAATTAGCAACGAGTATTTACGCGTAATTGCTTTTGCACATCTGTTACCTTCAGTGTTTCATCTTTAACGTGTACGGGATAACATGCTAAGAAACTTTATACAAATTGTATATATAATACGAATAATAATTATCCATAAATTAAGAAAAAAAGATTATTTCAAAAGAAATTACTTTTTTTCCTAATTGAATTTTTTTTTAAGAGTAACAAATAAATTAATAAAGGGACTACGAACCAAGTTAGGGGTTCGTTGCTTCTAATTCATTATGTTTTTTTTAACCTTTTCTTATTTTTTTCTCTAAAGAACTTTTTTTCTTACCATTAGTTATCGATTCCCTATACGCTCCCGAAATTTGGCCATTCGGGATGCGCTATATAATAAGTTATATAATAGGAAATAACGATTTGATATATAACATACATATAATTTTATTAAATATACATACATTACATATATACATGTTATTAAATTTACTTTCTTTTAACATTAAAACATGAGTGTTAAAACAGGAAAATTATACAGTATATAATAGATATTATTAAAGTATATTACATATACAGATATAAAAAAAGAAGTTAGGATATTTAAAATATTAAAAATTGTGACATCTAACTCTTTTTGCATTAAATTTGAAAAACACAGGCAAAACGAACGAAATGTATCTCGAAGGATTAGATACGTGAAACAAGATGAAGTGTATGAGTGACAGTAGAGAAAAAAAAGAGAAATACAAAAAAGTGTATAATTCACGGATTGAAATTATGAATTACATCTTTTAGAGAGCGAAGTATATGAATTATAAACATTAAATATACGACTTATGTAAATAAAGAAAGTATTTTGTACAAAATGTCAAATGTCACATGCAAAAATGTGGGACGGACAACGAAAGTAGAACACAAGAGAATTTATGAATTTTGTGGCGAAGAAACTGTTTTTATCTTCTTGTATGTGTATATCTCTTTCATCAGCATTTATTTTTTTCAAAACATGAAACATTTTCTTAATAAAGTTAACCGCAATATTTTTACATCTACGAAATTGATTAATGTTCTTGAAATCTCATCAATATGAAAATAAGTATTAATATTAAAAAAAATGTAATATAACGATAGTAACATAGTAATAAAGTTATTAATTAAAAATAACTTTTGAAACTCAGTTTTCGATCATACATCCTGAAACATTCTAACGTTTTGAAGGCGAAATATTATTTAAATTTCTCTTAATATTATCCAAAGAATCACCTCGATAATTTCAGTTTTTATCGAGCAAAAGAAATCGCAGTAAACGATTGTATCATTATTTGCGTTAATCTACAACCGATCGATTATTCGATTCGATTCTTATATCGTGTGAAATAAATGTAAATGTCAACATTACTTCTTCTTTATCCAC